GCACAACACCAGTTTGTTCCTGAAGGAGGGAATAGTTCAGACTCTCTCATTGTGGAAATAGAGTTTTTGCTTCTGCTGCAGTGTCTTCCTGAAGAAGCAAGCATTCTAGCTAGCAGAACAGTGTGTCTCAGGAGAGGGTGGAGAGAGAGAGAGACCCAATCATACACATTCCTCAGCCTGTCTATAAGCATCTAGCTATAAAACCGATTTTTATAGTTAACTGTCCCACTTCACATTCTCTATTCTCATGGTCTACTCACCAAGAGTCGCGCCAGCAGCCCCTGGGGTGTAGGGAGTTTCACTGGGGAAAGAAACAGAATAGCATTAATGATGCCAGGCTTTGCAGAGAGTCCTGCCAATGTTATTCACCTATCCATTTCCAACGTGCCCACCAATGTTGAATACAGCTGATAATAATTTGCATTTCCATAGTGCTTTCAGTCTGAGCATCTCAAAATGCTTTACAAACAGGAATGAATTCCGCCTCACAGCACCTCTATGAGGTTGGCATTAATTACTCCTTCATTTCACAAGTGGGGAAGCTGAGAGAGAAAGATCAAGTGATTTCCCCAAGGTCACATCAGAATTTTGGTGGCAAGCTGGGAACAGAACCCACGTTTCCTAGCTCCCTCCCATGGCCATGTTGTAATGACAAGACCATCCCCCATTCATTTTAGCCTCCTGATTGCAGACGAGAGAACTGGAGCAGACTGAATCTGTTCATTTCATAGGGCCTGGAGAGAATAAATGGAAGAATTTCTGTTATAAACCTGGTCCACTGTAGTCGAGGTAAGCAGCTTCTTCTCCTTCCTGCTGCTTTTTCTCAGCCAGTTCCCTAAGGCATCTGCAGAGAGGTTTCAAAGTACCAGTGTACTGAGCTGGCACCACATACTCCAGAAGCCTTGGCCATAACACCTTCAGAGAAGAGCGAGACTGTTCAGTACACAGCTATTTCCATTCCCCGACGTCCAGTATCCTGCTGTCTGAATCCCTCTCTTCTCCTTTTATTCCTCATTGACCCTTCCCTAACCTATCACCTCATCCCCATCATCTCACTCTACCTGTCTGGTGCCCCCTCACTCTGTCTTTTAAATACACTGCCTTGTTTGGTGAATCCTCTTTCCCTGCATTAGAGCATTATGGAGCTATTTAGATAGCATCATAAACTCACCCAGAACTTTACAGACCTATATAAGGCACAGTCTCAGCCCCAATATGTGTTCAAATCCAGGATCACCAAATCAGAAGTATTCATGGGGGATCTAAGGGGAAGTTGCACTCAGACAGTGGAAAGAATTAAGAGAAGATCTCTGCAACATGATTCCTTCCAGTTAAGTTACTTTATATCTTTTCTCTAATGTGAACCACTTACTCCATGATGAAGGGGTCACACCATCCCGGACATGAATTTGACATGCTGTTCCT